TTCTTGCATTTGTGTATAGGCACTTGAGATAACTCGCTGATCGTCCCTCTTTCTCAGATTGTCCCTCCCCTCTTGCGCGCTCCTGCTCGTGCTTCCTTCCGGTATCCCACTTTTCACTTACCTCAGGGCTTTGGTCTCCTTCCCCCAGTGAACCTAGTTTAAAGCCCTCCTCACTAGGTTAGCCAGCCTGCTTGCGAAGATGCTCTTCCCACTCTTCATTAGGTGGAGCCCGTCTCTGCCTAGCATTCCTCCTTCTTGGAACACCATCCCGTGGTCAAAGAATCCAAAGACTTCTCTCCGACACCACGTGCGTAGCCATTCGTTGACTTCTACGATTCGACGGTCTCTACCCAGGCCTTTTCCTTCCATGGGGAAGATGGACGAGAACACCGCTTGCACCTCAAACTCCTTTATCCTTCTTCCCAGAGCCATGTAGTCCGCAGTGATCCGCTCAAGGTCATTCTTGGCAGTATCATTGGTGCCCAGGTGGAGAAGCAGGAAGGGGTAGCGATCCAAGGGCTTGATGAGTCTCGGCAGTCTCTCCATCACATCGTGAATCCTAGCTCCTGGCAAGCAGCAGACTTCTCGGTTTTCTGGGTCGGGGTGGCAGATAGATGACTCAGTCCCCCTGAGGAGAGAGTCCCCGACCACCACCACCTACCTCCTTCTCTTGGGAGCGGTGGTTGTGGAACCCCCATCCCTAGGACAGTGCATCTCATGCCTTCCAATCAGCGGAGTTGCCTTCTGTTCCCTTCCCTCAGATGTATCATCTAGTCCACTCTCCGCATTAGTACCTGTGGAGAGAACATGAAAACGGTTACTTATCTGTATCTGCGTTGCTGGTACATGGACACTCCCCTTTCTTCTTCTGGAGGTCACATGCTGCCAAATTTCTTCACCATCCTCCTGTCCCCGCAATGCAGCCTGCTCTGAATCTTCAGAACATTCTGTCCGTAGAAGCATATCCTGATGTCTGTCCAGGAAATCTTCAGTTTCTCTTATGCAACGCAGGGTTGATACCTGTTGCTCCAGACCTTGAACCTTCTTTTCCAATATGGAGACCAGCTTGCACGTTGTACAGACAAAGTCACTTCTGTCCTGTGGAAGAAAGACAAATATGGCACATCCAGGGCAGGTCACAACAGCTGAACACTCCCATAGCTAGAGATTTTTGCTGAGCTATGACAGTCCGAAGACTCTGTCTATCTATGAGGTGCTGTGTGTTGGTGTGTCAGTGCAATGATGCCCCCTCTGGCCAGGCATGGTGTGGCACCTGAGCTCACTCAGTCTGATGATGCTGTTGGATAATGTCATTCTGTACCAAAAATCACACCTTTGTTTCTTTGTGTTTGTGACACCTTATGTCCAATAAAGTGCCTTGTTTCAAGTTTAAAAAACCCCCAAACAAACAAACAAAACAATCTGAAAACTCTCTCTGCTTTTAAATCCATTGGAAGGAGGGGTGTTGGTAGGGGAACCCAAGCCAGCCCATTCCATTGGGTTCCAGCTCAGGGCCATTGAGCTAGATAAGCTGGATCCGCATTTGTTGACTCTGGCTGTGCGCTGAGCTCCTTCCTGCCTTCCCACTGGGTTTCTGCAGGCTCTTCGGCTAGTTGGTCTGGTCGCCTCTTTCTAGAGCATTGTCCTTGAGCGGCTCTTCAGGAGCTTTCTGAGAGGAATTCCCTTCTCCAGCCTGCACACTCATCTGGTAGCCACCCCAACCCTCTGCTTCCCCTCCCTCTTATCCTCCCAGCTGCTGTGAGTCTGCCAATGAGCAGGGGCCAGCAGGGTTTATGTTTACCCTTTGGTTGCTGGGTGGCGTGGGTGCCTTTGCACTCAGGGATGCATATGAGGATGGAAGAATGGTAAGTGACCGCAAATAAGCATTTATAGAGAGCATTTGTAAGTACTCAAAAGATGTAATAGCAAGTTAGGTAGCAAGAACAACAACAAAATCATATGGCTGGGTCATGTTTTATTGAATGGGATAGGTCCATGAGGGGAAGGATAAGAGCAAAGAGTAAACACTTTCTGCATTCTGGTTGTGTTTGTCTTTTCTCTGGAAAGAAGCCTGAGGGGCTGCTGGGCTGAAAACAGAATTACTTTTCTTTTTTCATCCTCACATTCCTTCCTGCTTGACAAGATTTATCAAACAGCTTGGTCTGGGTGTCTTTTTTTGGAGCAAGTCAGGAAAAGTGTCAGTGCCGTGCGAAGGTCAGTTGCAAAACTATTACTCAATGCTGCTGAACAGAGAAACAACTACAGTCACAAACCAAAGCTTGTTTGTCAGGGCATGCATTACTGATGAAGGGGAGCAGGGCAGGGGAAGGGAAACCAGAACTCAAAGGTGAAAGCCTGATCCTGTCAAAATCAATGGGAGTTTTGTCGTTGACTGTAGCGGAGCCAGGATTTCACCCCAATGTTTCTTTTGGGGAGACTTTATTATTATTATTTTTAAACTGCTTAATTTCCTCCTGTTGGATGCTGCTTTTCTAGCATGCTTACCTCTGAATGATCATAATCCTTTAATATGCAGCTAGCACCCTATTTTAACTGCTATAAGGAAGGGTGGGCAGCATTTATAAGAACTCTGTAGTGCATCCTTTCTCTAGGAAGAACATGGCAGTAGCTTTGAAAGAGACCTTTTAAAATAATTGTTCAGTACTCATAGCAGTTACATTAAGAGCTTGAATGGTCTCTTTTACGCACACCTGTTCCATAAATTACGCATTTGATTTTGACTTACTGGTAAATTTGTACAAGCTGCTGTCTTACTTGCAGGAGGCATTCATGTCTCCCACATCAGGTCACAATAATTTCTGAGTATCATGAGGAGAGAAAGGTGTATGTGATCACACTATTTCTATACATTCCATACAGCTGGAAACGGTCACTTGTGAATACATTGCCTTACTTTGTAGATCTGTCTGCAGATGGTAGCATTATATTTCCGAATTTAAGGAGCACAACAGAATCTATACCTCTGGCATTTCAAATACATAGTCACCATTGAATTACATGAAGAAGAATGTGTTCTACACACTTCCTAGCAGAAAGAAGCAGGCACTGAAATAGCCAGTGACAGATAAAGACAAGATCCCCTGAGCACCAGGACATAGGTCCAAAGCTCAGAGAGGGCTTCCAAATTTAGGAGTGTCGATCGTTCACCCCCAAGAAGCCACTACTAAAGAAGTAGATGTAGCAGCTTACCCTGTTGCTCTCCCAGACTCAGTCACTTAGGTTTGTCTACATTCCAAAAAAAGTCATTGTAGGTTAGCAGCTAGAGTTGAACACCAAGCTGCCTTGTAGACTTGAACTTGAGCTGCTAACCTGCGTTCAAAGCTGAGGGCATGTCTACACTTACCTCCGGAGTGATTGATCTAGGGGTCGATTTATCGCGTCTAGTGAAGATGTGATAAATCGATTGCTGAACGCTCTCCCGTCGACTCCGGAACAGCACCAGAGCGAGACGCGGAGGCACAGTCGATGGGGGAGCGCCAGCAGTCAACCTACAGCAGTGAAGACGCCGTGGTAAGTAGCTCTAAGTATGTTGACTTTGGCTATGCTATTTTTGTAGCTGCAGTTGCATAACTTAGACCAGCTTAGCTTGCCCCTCCCTCCCCAGTTTAGACCAGGCCTAAGTTGCTGGGTCTTCACTGCTATTTTAACATGGGTTAATTAATCTGAGTTAAGAATGCAACTTTTTTGCAATGTATACAGACCTTATATGAAGAGGTCAATCTTGAGCTTCTTTTACCTGAAGATTCTGTCAGAAAGCTGAGCCCAAAGTCACTAGGCATTTTAGAGATGCAAGGCTTTCTTCTACCCATGTGGGAGATATCAGCCTCCTCTCTTTTTCCCTCAAGCAAGTGAGAGTAGGGAGAAGGAACAGCTTAGACCCCACTATAGTGAAGCAGTGCAGGGAGATGAAAGGTTGAGTTGCCCACCACCATTCAGTGTGGGAAGCCTTCATCAAGAAAAAAGAATACAGCCTCACTGCCAGGAGATGTGGAAGGGAAGGAATTATCTCACCTGCTGCCTCCAGGAATGGGGATGGAGACAAGGAGTATGTGGGGCTTAAAATGTTGGTGGATCTAGGACCTGCAGTTGTCAAAGGACCAAATAGAAAGGTTGAAAAGATGAAAAATGACGTGCTACTCTTAATCTGATTTCAGTGTTATATGCAGGAAATTATTGACAGTAAAGTAGCCATGGTAGGTCTCCAGCAACAATGACAATGTAGAAGATTAAGCTAGTTGTCATTCTTTTGTCTCTTAAATATTGTGTTCTGAAATGACACACTGATGTGGGTGGCCATCTCATTTTGAGTCATATGACCATCATCTTGTGTTGGACATGGAGACTCAAAGCCCAGCAGTTTTGCCACTGGGTAAAAATTAGGTCTTTTTCAGAAACCTACCATTATTTCAATGGAGTTTTGCAGAACAAGCAAACCTACTATCTATTACAGGTTTGTCAAGTGACACCTGGGGTTAGCATGAATCAAATCTCCTCACAGTTTCTATGATGTATCTATCGTTCCATCTCTTTCTCTTCTTTGCTGTTCTGTGAGCTACTTTATCTCCTATGCGGCCTGGTGCTTAGTCTCCCTCCACTTCATGGAGAGAGACAGGAAAATAGTCTGAGGACTCACTTATTTTCTCCCCAGGGCAACACTGGGATACAGACAAAGAACTCCATGACTCAAAAGTCAGTAAACGGTGACATGTAATGAGAAACACATGCAGGGAGAGCCAGCTAATGCCCACAACCTCTGTAAGACCATTGTAATGAAAAGAATCTTGCGTTTGTCACAACCTGTAATCCTAAAATCATCATATTACTTAATAAAATGGAAATTTACATCAGCATATTTCTACTGAAGTTTCATATCTTGCACCCAACTGAGAACACAGAAGCATCCAATGCATCATAGCTAAATGAAATTCATGGTTAAGACTAGGAAAAAATGCACCACATGAAAATACAAGCTTCATGTGTTTATGAAATCCCATTTCATGAAAATACGAGTAAAAAGTATGATTTAATTGGTACAACTATGTTTCCTTGCTGTAGCCCCCCTTTTAAAGTAGACTATATAATCCAAACATTGATTGGCTAGTATAAGATTCACATTTTACTTAAATCATACATCTACCCAATAAATGCAAATACACATGAATGTTGAAGTGTAACACTGTGAAGTCAATGGGTTTCCTCTGTGTAATTCAAGAAAAAGTCATGGTACATCCATGGTGAATATCTTAAATATCTTAAAATGCTTACTTGTTTATTAGCACATTCAATTAGCTGAAAGGAGTATGGGTTGCAAAAATGCTAACTACATGTTCATTTTTCTCCATATTCTTGGCCAAAAGCACTCTTGCTGACAATTGCACTTTTCAAACAGTCCAGCTTCATACTTAGCATTATTTATGATTAATTTCACTTTACCTTCTATTGTAGTTCTGGCTACCATATCTCATTCTTATATCTCATTCAAAACAAGAGATGCTGTCCAGACTCCGGCTTTCTGTTTTGTATGTGCTCACCTCTGTGTGCACTTGAGCTGGTCAAAAGTTTTTTTGGTCAAAATGAGTTTTCAGTGAAAAATATCTTTTTGGCCAAAATCAAAACATTTTTCAAAATGTGTCTGTTCTGACAAAGTTTCATTTATAAAATAAAATGAAACAAAGCATTTTAACCAGAGTGAAATGTCCCATTTTGATATTTTTGAGTTCAAATGACTTTTAAAAAAACACATTGCTTTTTTATATCAAAAACCTTTTTAATGTTTTAAAAGGTCAACATCAAAATGAAACAATTTGATTTGATTGAAATGAAATGTTTTCATTGACCCCCAAATATTTTTTTCCCCAAAATGTAATTTTGTGGGAAATTTTGAAATTTTTCGGTTTTGTTCTTTTGGACCGGAAACTTTTGAACTCACAGAAGTCTGATGAAAGAGAAAATCTGGTTCCTGCCTAGATGGAGTGTGCACACTTGGCTGCACTAATAATTGCATGCCCAGATGATAGTTTTTGTACACAAAAAGTCCATTTATCAAAACAGATTTTGTGTGTGCAAATTTTACCATCTGCACATGCTGTCTGAATTGTATCTAAAGAAGCATGAACATTTGTCTGGAATTGTCTGTCTAATCTATCACTGTTCTTATCACTGCACTATTTGAGTGCCAATGGTGCTAGTTGCTCATGGTTCAGTTATCCTCCATATGTTTACAACTTCATTCTTTTCATATTTATTCCAGTATTTTAGTAGGGACTTAAGCTAAGTGCAGGAGTGCTATCCAAAAGTAGCAACAACATCAGCTGGAAACAAAAGTGTTGTACTCAAGATGAAGCTGTGTTGATATTTCACTTTTTTTCCTCCCTAAAGTCTTCATAACTCCTTCAGCAGTTTGGGACTATTAGCTACCGTATTTCACAGGATGGCATCAGTTCCTAGACATCATCTTTTCCCATCATTATATGGCAAAAACATTTGTATAGAGCTTTTCTGTACTTCAGTTCTTCCTTGATCCTCTTCTGAAGCCACAATGATGTTCATTACACAGCGTTCCCACAATTATCTTTGTCTGTTAAGGAGCTGGTTAGCAAATGCTTTCCTGGGAACCCTGAAAGACTCTTGGCCCTTAATTTCTTACAGTCTTTTTTCAGCAACTACTTAAGTCTTCTCATGTGGAGGGATTAAAAGGTTGCTTTTTCTCTCAGATTTTCATGATGACGTACAGAGGTGAGTATTTTTCACTCAGTCACTAGGTCTTTAAGCAGTATACATACCTGAGGCTCTTCTTCCATTCATCTTCCTTCCTATCTGTTTCTCCTGTGTAATGTCACTTTCATCTCAGTTTTTTGTTAGCAGCTCATCTAGCATCAGCTGGTACATAGTAGTACAGTATCCCATTTTCAAGAGCCTGATGCTGTACATAAAAGGATGCCTTTCATACCACGGTACTCTTTTTCATCTTTGTCAGTCACTGGTTCTAGTCCAATGACCTTTTCACTTATCTTTACAATACGCCTTTTCAAAATCACAAACAATTTCTTGCCACCAGCTCACTGCCTCTTCCATTTCCACTCTTTTCCTTTGCCAGAACTGTGTCATGTCACATCTTGTCACTGGGTTGTCACCGCTTTATTGAGAACTGATCTTGCATCTCATTTTTATTTTCATTTCACTTGTATACCACAGTGCCTATAACATCCTCATTTAGGGTTTCGAATTCTTGGCACCATTCCTTCCAACAGAAGAAAAAACAGGGTGAGGAGATATGAAGTTAAGCCAAATGACAAAGTCCTACTATAGCTAGAATAAACACTCATTATTGTGGGATCCTTCTTAAACACCTTAGTGCCTCGCTGTATAACAAGCTCAATTTTACACGGGACAGCATTAAAATGTTTGTATCTCATGATAAAATACTTTTATTATGCTAGGTACTAAATACAGCCATGGGTTGTCAATGTTCTTTGGTTTCAGTGATGAACTGCAGGGTTCATGCATCTTTAATGTCAAGAAGGAGAACACTTACTGAAGAGCTGCTCAATGTGCTGTCCATGTTATTAAACATAAAGACTCAAAAACTAATTCAGAAATGTCTGAATTCCTTAGAATATAGGGATGTTGTGAAAGCTGTGATTTCTGTCGGAGTTTGTTTGAGGAAGGACCAAAGGGAAACAAAAGTAACATTTCTCCCAGCTTTGAACAATGAGTATAAGTAGCAACAAATATATAATATGACATAGCTGGCATGCAGATCTTTTAATTTTTTCATTTTCTTGTCAGCAACTGTTAGATTTTGGGGGAGCCTAAACAGAGCCATTGCACTTCTGGTACTAACCCTCCTTGACGACAGGCCAAATGCCAAGTGAGTCAGAACGGTTGCTATTCTTACCCTCCTCAACTCCCCATCACTATAATCTTTACTCCTGTGTATAAGATCTGAGAAGGGGAAAGCCAACACTAAACGAACAGACAAATGTGTCCCCTTATAGAAGGCCTCCAAACTAACTCCACCCAGCAGAGTTCCAGTCGGGAGAGGAGTCACTTAACCCAGTCCGTAAGCCCCTTATCTCAGAGACTTAAATCAGAATAACCCACTTTACAGTCAGAAAAACAAGTTCCTCGGGCCTAGGTTAGACTAGTGACCTGGGGCCTGCAGCAACCAGCATGACTTCTGATGCACTGTCTCACCCCCATCAGCATCCTTTTTTCGTATATATAATCTTGTGCTTTTTCAGGAAGTTTCTTGAGCAAATGCTGTAGTTGCTTTTGGTAACTCTCAGTGGGATCATAGGGTAATGGCTTGTAGAAAGTGGTGTTGGAGAGCTGCCGAGCAGCCTCTTGTTCATATTCCGACCTATTCATGATGACAACAGCACCTCCTTTGTCAGCCTTTTTGATTATGATGTCAGAGTTGTTTCTGAGGCTGTGGATGGCATTGCGTTCCGCATGGCTGAGGTTATGGGGCAAGTGATGCTGCTTTTCCACAATTTCAGCCCGTGCACGTCGGCGGAAGCACTCTATGTAGAAGTCCAGTCTGCTGTTTCGACCTTCAGGAGGAGTCCATCTAGAATCCCTCTTTCTGTAGTGTTGGCAGGGAGACCTCTGTGGATTAGTATGTTGTTCAGAGGTATTTTGGAAATATTCCTTGAGACGGAGACGTCGAAAATAGGATTCTAGGTCACCACAGAACTGATTGATAGAGCCAGAAGAGTTCCCAGAAGTTACCTACTACAGGACAGGCCTAACAAAGAAAACAACAGAACGCCACTAGCGGTCACCTTCAGCCCCCAACTAAAACCCCTCCAACGCATTATTAAGGATCTACAACCTATCCTAAAGGATGACCCAACACTCTCACAAGTCTTGGGAGACAGGCCAGTCCTTGCCTACAGACAGCCCCGCAACCTGAAGCAAATACTCACCAACAACCACATACCACACAACAGAACCACTAACCCAGGAACTTATCCTTGCAACAAAGCCCGTTGCCAATTGTGCCCACATATCTATTCAGGGGACACCATCACAGGGCCTAATAACATCAGCCACACTATCAGAGGCTCGTTCACCTGCACATCCACCAATGTGATATATGCCATCATGTGCCAGCAATGCCCCTCTGCCATGTACATTGGTCAAACTGGACAGTCTCTACGTAAAAGAATAAATGGACACAAATCAGATGTCAAGAATTATAACATTCATAAACCAGTCGGAGAACACTTCAATCTCTCTGGTCACGCAATCACAGACATGAAGGTCGCTATCTTAAAACAAAAAAACTTCAAATCCAGACTCCAGCGAGAAACTGCTGAATTGGAATTCATTTGCAAATTGGATACTATTAATTTAGGCTTAAATAGAGACTGGGAGTGGCTAAGTCATTATGCAAGGTAGCCTGTTTCTTCTTGTTTTTCCTACCCCCCCCCGATGTTCTGGTTTAACTTGGATTTAAACTTGGAGAGTGGTCAGTTTAGATGAGCTATTACCAGCAGGAGAGTGAGTTTGTGTGTGTATGGGGGTGGGGGGGATGTGAGAGAACCTTGATCTATGCAGGAAATAGCCCTACTTGATTATGTAAAGAGTTGTCACTTTGGATGGGCTAGCACCAGCAGGAGAGTGAATTTGTGTGGGGGGTGGAGGGTGAGAAAACCTGGATTTGTGCTGGAAATGGCCCAGCTGTTGATCACTTTAGATAAGCTATTACCAGCAGGACAGTGGGGTGGGAGGAGGTATTGTTTCATATTCTCTGTGTGTATATAAAGTCTGCTGCAGTTTCCACGGTAAACATCTGATGAAGTGAGCTGTAGCTCACGAAAGCTCATGCTCAAATAAATTGGTTAGTCTCTAAGGTGCCACAAGTACTCCTTTTGTTTTAGCTAGAAGTAGAGAAGCACATCATGGGAAATGCATAGAGCAGTGTTTCCCAAACTTGGGATGCCGCTTGTTCAGCGAAAGCCCCTGGCGGGCCGGGCCGGTTTGTTTACCTGCCGTGTCCACAGGTTCAGCTGATCGCGGCTCCCACTGGCCGCGGTTTGCCGCTGCAGGCCAATAGGGGCTGTGGGAAGCAGCGTGGGCTGAGGGACATACCGGCCGCTGCTTCCCGCAGCCCCCATTGGCCTGCACCGCGAACCGTGGCCAGTGGGGAGCCGCAATCAGGCGAACCTACAGACGCGGCAGGTAAAGAAACTGGCCTGGCCTGCCAGGAGCTTTCCCTGAACAAGAGGCGTCCCGAGTTTGGGAAACACTGGCATAGAGGATAGGTCTCTGCCCCCAGGAGATTACAAACTAGGCGCCAGATTCTGCAACTTTGCTTTCATTGAATAGCACTTATACATGTGAGCAGTCCCATTGGTGAAGTCAGTTGGGCTGCTCCTGAGAATTCATCTTGCTCTGTGTGAGTAAGTGGTGCTGATTCAGGCCCTGCATGGGTAATGGTAAGTGCACCCACACAGAACATCTGAACAAGGTCTTTACTTCACATCATCTCTTAGACAGCTTGTTATGGCTTAACAGCTCATTCCCTGGAGATGAAAAAGCAAAGGGGCAGCTCAACAGCAGAAGAGGAATTTCAGATTGACGTCTAGGGCCACCTTTTTAAAAATAGCCTCTGCTTTTGCACCAACAATTAATTGTGACTAGTTGATGCAGCTGCAGATGAAATCAGGGAGAAAGTTGTCTAAATGATATCATTTGCACAGGCAGTTAACTGCCACCACATTTTTGCATCTGCAGGTGATAGAGGGCCCAAAATTATGGAGGCAAAAATATTGAGCAAGTTGAAGTCCCTTTAAATATCTGGTCATCAGTGCTGTCAACATGATTCAGAAGGGGTTGATCGACTGGACAGTTCCTCAGGGAGACTGTCTTTAGCAGCAGCAACATTGTGAATATTTCCCTTCATTTTGGTTGATATTATAGGATCAGTAAAGCCTTCAGGAATGGAAGACATGCCACTGGCTGTATCCACTGGTTCAACGATGCACCAATGCGCTCCGATACTACAGATTTACTTTTGACTGTGAAAATGAATATATTGTAAGTGTTTATAACACTTGTATTATTTCCCTCAGGCACAATAGGAGAAGGTTCTGACAGCCAGGCCAGAAAGAAACACTGACCAGGAACTCCTGAGGCCCACTCCTGAAAGTCACCTATGGCCTAATCCTGAACCATTGAAGTCAATAGGAGTTTTGTCATGGTCTTCAGCGAGAATAGGCTCAGGCCATTAACCTCTCTGCGTCAGATACCACATACGTTAAAAGGGGATAATAATACTGATCTGCTTCAGTGGGATATTGTGAGAATGAATTAGTAAAACTATGTAAGTGCTAAGTATTCAAAAGTGCATGGAATTATTATATTGACTCATTTAATTAACAGTGAAGTTATAGTCCATTATATTAATTATATATATCTATGTTTAAATACATGTGTGTGTGTCAAATAATGGCTGAAGCTATATTGTGAGGGCTGTATGTTATAGCAAATGATTCAGCGTTCGCAATAAGTTTTCAGTGTAAGCCCTATTTAACCCTTAAAGAAGCACGGATTCCATTTATTTTAAACATATGCCCAATTCAGCATGGTTCAAGAAGGATGTCCAGCCTACCTTGTAATAAAATGCCACCTCAGCGTGGTTTATAGACGATGCCTTACAGGTATGTGTTGGCTTGGAGAAAGTGTCTGGTACAGCATGATGAAGAGAACAGTACGTTCATAGCAAAAATCCCATTTTGGAGCAGCTGTACGGAGCAAATAGTGTGAAATCAATTTTAACAGTGAATATTAAGTTTTACAGCATTATCAGAAAAAGATGCTATCACTAGTCCACAGATTTTACACTATTTTGTCTTAAATAAGGGTTCAACCAATTAGTCAAGAAGTTACAATTCAAGCCTTTAAAATAAGAGTATACAAATGTAACTCTCTTCCTCTTTCTCTTTCTCTCCTTCTCTCAAGGTTATGCTCCTGCAAACATTTGTACACGTATATATACTATGGAACTGCTCACATGATTAATGTTAAAGCATAAATATTTGTAGGATCAGGATCAGCTAAAACGGCACTCATTTCCTGAACGATCTTGCATGGAGGAGGGACATATTCTGCATAAATCGGAAACCTCCATTACAATAGAAACTTTGTAAATAGAAACCACCATTACTATACATCTATGCCACAAAGACATACAAAAGGATGATACCCACAAGGACTTTAGTTATCTTTTATCTGCTTGAGGTTTAGTGGTGGAGTTTGTATGGTTGAGCTGATACTATCATTGTTTATATTCCAGCAGTGCCAGGAGGCCTCATTCAGGCCTGGAGTCCTGTTGTTCTGAGCTTTGTACAAATACATAAAAAGCCGTAGTAAAGTAGGCTTCATCATCGGTTTGGATTCATCTTAATTACAGAAGTCCATTTAGTTAGTATTTATAGCTGAAAAATTTAACCATTTGATGATCACATTTTAAAAATAAAATAAAGAGTATGAATTTCCCAGTTGCCCCAGGGTAGGTATATTGATGTAGCTTGTGGTGCTGAGAATCACTAGAGTATGCCAGATATATGTTTTACTGAAGAGGGCTCAGGGTCACTGATCACTATAGGATGATTGAAGCCATGTAACACAAAATTAAGCTTAGAATAATACTGTAATAAAATGTTTTTGAGAAGTTGCATTGTATTTTCACAGTGCTCTCCTCAGCCCACGGATGCCTCCTTCCTTCTCTTATGCTCAAATACATTGGTTAGTCTTTAAGGTGCCACAAGTACTCCTTTTCTCTTTGCAAGAGTGGCTACTGGGGTGAGTTCCTATTTGAACTCCTCTGCTTTCCACTCTTCAACAGTATCCCCAGGTAGTGGATCTTCTCCTATATACTTTGCATTAGCAATTTTCTGCTTCACTGCACCTCCACTATGAGACAAGCTTTAAGATTTAGTGATCTTACAGCAGAGTTGAGTAACAGCACTTCCATTTCCTTTTACAAAAATTGGCATCTCTCTTGCCTTGTGAGAGCCTTAGCCACTGTCACTCAGACGACAGAGGCATCTAAACAGAAATAGCAACAGAGAAATCCAAGGAAAGAGCAACATCAGCCATTTGAACAACAGACATTTAGCTTTTGTATTTCTTCACTATCCTCTGTACATTATGGAGTAATTTTGTGCTCTACATTTGAATCTGAGCATACATCAAATTGAATCTTGTAATCATGGAAATGGTATCTCAGTTCCTGTGGGTGCATATATATTGTATATATACATCTATCTAACTAGTGTGCATTTGGTTAAGAAGCATAATTTCATTGAAGATGAGGTCTGTCCTTTAGGTTTACAGGCACAATTTGTGCCCATGAAATGAATGATGTTCACACATCTGGGTAGCTGCAGTCTTAAGGCAGGTTTCCACAGTTCAAATGTGGGTGTAAAAATGTGGACACAAGTTGTGCCCACAAAAGGAAAGGGACCCTTCCAAAAACTTACTCCTAACACTTGATTTTTTATGAACTGATGGTTTTATTATTGATGCATTGCATAAACTGAAGAAATTCAATAAATGCATAACATAGGACAACCTACTTGTGAAATAGTAGATGTGTTGGCGGTTTGCATGACTGACAAAGTAAACGATGGAGATGTAAGTAGGACAAGTGACCGACCCCCAGAAATGTGAATCTAAATTTTAAGGCCTGTTATGTGATGCTTGACTGATGCTGCATAATCTGATGAGACGTCAGTGGACAAAAAGGTGATGTTCATCTTTTTGGTTTGGGCTCATTATGCAATTCTGGTTTAGCAGCTCTGAAACCATTTTTCATTCAAAAGAGAGCTCTTCATTTCTGGGTTGGGTGGAATCTTAAATGCATAAAATCAAATACCCTGATTCTTCTCAGTCTAATTTGTTATGTCCCCTAAATGTAAGGGGAATAGTTGTCTTTCTACATAAAACATACCTCCTTCATCATCAGATTTAAGACAACCAATTATTTAATTGCTTAAGGCCCTGCAGGCCTGCACACAACCAACTTACCAGCCACAGTTATTATCATTGATTATTATTTGTACTGTCGTAGTGACGAGAAACCTCAATTATAAATCAGTGGCCCCTTTGTGGCAGGTGCTGCCCCGGGCCACAAGCTTGATGACCGGCGAGGAGTAGACTGGATTGTACCCACCAAATATCATTTCACATAGTGTCTTGCAAAATCCAGAGTTGGCCATGATCTCCTTGCACATAGCTTGGGTGTAATAGCAATGAAGCACTGCTAAGCAGGCTAGGCACCTTAAGAATATGCAAAGTGAAACTCTTGATTAGTTAGGGACGTATCGTGTCTTCACAGGCCCATGTCAGGGCCAGTGCAAAAGTACATCACCCCAGTAAGTGTTTCAGCAGACGTTGTGTCTTAAACATGCACAATGCTTTCTGGAGCTCACTGGCACACAGGGAGCACATATCTGTTGATGCAGCATGAGGTCCCCACGGCAGCTCACTAACACGGCTGAAGGGCTTAGATGTGAGGAGTAAAGCCATGGCTCAGCCTTCTCTTCTTCCCCCCATCCCTTTATGGTAGCTAGGGCTGCTATCACTATCCTATCCTTACTCTCAGTTATGTATGGGTTGCGGGATGAGGAGGAAATCTTTGGATACAAACATTCATAATGGTTTATGTTAACACTTATACTGTGACTCCAATTTTATTTGGAAATCAGCATCATATTGACATTAAATATAGGTCCTCCATGGATTTACATAGTGATGAATGTTGTTAAATTGGCAAATTGAGATTCCATGTTTTAAGCAAAAATTATAGCCCTACTGTATAATTACATAGCACGCTTTTGTAACAATGCTAAAACTATTCTATAAGGGTCTGATCCAAATCCCATTGAAATCAGGGGGAGTCTTTCCATTGACTTCACTAGGCTTGAGATCATGGTTACCACATAAAAATTAGCCTTAGGTACAGGTTGGAAAAGAGACGGCTAAGGGGAGATATGATTAAGGTCTATAAAATCATAACTGGTGTAAAGACAGTAGATAAGGAAGTGTTGTTTACTACTTCTCATAACACAAGAACTAGTGGTCACCAAATGAAATTAATAGGCAGCAGGTTTAAAACAAATAAAAGGAAGTATTTCTTCATACAAGGCAGTCAACCTGTGGAACTCCTTGCCAGAGGATGTTGTGAAGGCCAAGACCATAACAGGGTTCAAAAAAGAACTAGATAAATTCATGGAGGATAGGTCCATCAGTGTCTATTAGCCAGGATGGGCAGGAATGGCGTCGCTAGCCTCTGTTTGCCAGAAGCTGGGAATGAGTGACAGGGGATGGATCTCTTGATGATTACCTGTTCTGTTCATTCCCTCTGGGCACCAGGCACTGGCCACTGGCCCAGAAGACAGGATACTGGGCTAGATGGACCCTTGGTCTGACCCAGTAGGGCCATTCTTATGTTCTTATGTTCAGTGTTTACAATCCTGTCAGAGTGAAAAAAGACCGTTTTGCTGTATCGCTGACAGAACACTGTTAAATGCAAAATGTGAGAAAAGTAGAATATCTAGTCTCATTTTAAACATTGTTCTAGCTCTTTGCCTGTTATTTTAAATTTATGAATAGCTGTGTGCATAATTGTCAGTTTATGCTTGGGAAATGTCAGTTTAACGTAGGATGTATATTGCAGTATTATATGAAAACACAAGGTGGCACTGGAGGATTGTACCAATGCACTGTAATTAAGTCCCCTTGTAAATCACATCATTGTCAAAGTCAAGGAAACCATAAATTTTTACATTAAATGATATAAACCACGAAAATTGGTCATTTCTCTTTCTTCTGATTTTGGCTTCACTTCCTAAGAATTTTTAGTAAAGTTTTGTCAAGAGGGAAATGGTGATGAGGCAGTACATAGCACAGCCATTACAAGTGTACAGCAAAGTAATCAAACAAATCGACATTCCTTTGTTTTCAAAACATGTATTTGCTAACAGTGTTGATCCTACAGCTGTCTCTTTTTGTGCCACATGTCCATACCTCAGTGATGACGGCACACGAGAAGATACATTTATTTCCTCAATAATTTATTTGCTACACTGATTGAAGCTTTCTTTCACATAGGTGTTTCCCCACCCTTAAATCACTCTAAATACAAAAGCTTTAGTCTGCATTTGGTTAAGGGGTCTTCCGGGATTCACCTGGGCTCTAAAAAGTTTTCACAACACACAGATCAATCCCAATGGTCATTCTGATATTTCACTTTTGTTCTTCATCTTTGAAAATAATTTACACAAGAAATTCATTATTTATCTTCTTACAACATATGAAATTTGGCAACTTTCCCCGTCTACATAAGGCGTGGCCCCTAACCACAGTCTAATATTTCTATTACATCTCAAGAATACTAAATATATTGCTCCAGATTCTCTCTTGGGGTAAACTTGCATAACTCCATCAACTTCAGTGAAGCTATGCCAATTTACACCAGCCAGGGATCTAGTCCATTGCACATATTAATATATGCAGCATGTATAATTGAAGTGTCCAATGCAATTATATTTTTGCTTATGGTAATTTGCCATAAAAAGAACATGCTGTACATAAACAAATAGAAAATATAAATGTAACTTCAAAGGCAGACTGAAAAAGAACATAGTATAGTATAACCCTATGCCAGTGTAAGGTCTGCCCGTGTGGAGTCGCTTGCAGGATTGGGGCCTTAGAAAAAAAGACTGCCTAACTGGAACAA